CTGCTCCGCGGGAAGCCTGCTTCTCCCTCTCCCACTCCCCCTGCTTGTGTTCCCTCTCTCGCTGTGTCTCTCTCTGTCAAATAAATAAGTAAAATTTTTTAAAATAAAATAAAATAAAATATTTCCTTCTCTCCATTCCTCTCTACTTCCTCTTTCTGGTCCTTCTAAGGGTTGTCCACCGGACCTTCTGGATCACTCATGTAGCGCTCCCTGTTTGATGCCATTTTTTCTGTCTCTGCCCATTGCTTCCACTTTCTGAGAAAAGTCCTTGACTTCATTTTCCAGTTCTTTTAACGAACTTGTTCCCACCCCAGAGCTCTTTCTTTGTCCTCAGAGCAATCTATTCCTATCTTTAAGGATGTCATGTCTTTTAGACTCTCTGGAGACACTAAGTAGAGTATTTTAAAGTTGTATTTGGTTCCTCCAATATTTTTCTCTAAAGATTTTATTTATTTATTTGAGAGAGAGAACACAAACCGGGAAGAGAGGCAGAGGGAGAGGGAGAAGCAGACTCCTCGCTGAGCAGGGAGCCCGATGTGGGACTCGATCCCGGGACTCCAGGATCATGACCTGAGCTGAAGGCAGTCGCTTAACCAACTGAGCCACCCAGGCGCCCGATCCTTGGTTATCTTATTCATATTTAAATTTAGAACACTAAAAAGCTGTTAGGAACTCTGTAGGAGAGCAGGCCTTCTTCAAGAGTCATTGTTGGAGATGCTACTCCTTTTGCTGTTAGAATGTCCAAAGCTTTTCACTGGGAATGATAATTTGTTTTTGTTTTTGTTTTTGTTTTTTGGTAGGAACTGACAGTCTGATTCAATCCCTCCCCTCCCTCTGCTGGACACTGAATATTTGGCTGCTGTGGGGGTGGGTTTGATGGTTCTGGATACAGACTTACAGCTGATGCTCATTTTCAGCACCATGCCCCATCTCCACTCTCCACCCCCTTTAAAAATGGCCCGTGGGGTTGGACTCTGTCTCTGGGCCATGTCACCCCTCCATATGACCCCCCTCCTCCTTCCACACACTTGTCGAAATCTCTCTTCCACTGAACTCCCCCCACTGCCATCATTCTATTCATCTGGTAGGTCTATAACTTTTTTATTCCTCTTCTGGAATTTTAGTGGTGTCTGCAGAGAAAGGAGATCAGAGCCTGGGGTCAACCCCTCATCTTTAAAGTAAAGGTGATCTCTACATTTGTAAAGCAATTTATAAAGTATTTTTATGCATATTATCTCATTTGATCTTTCTGACAACCCTGGAGATTAGCAGGGCAGAGGTTATTATATCCGTTGTACAGATAAAGCATCCAAGTCTCAGGAGAGATTCAATGACTTGTCCAAGGTCACACTGCAAGTTGGGGATGGAGCCAGGATTCAAGGTTGGGTGTTCGGGCCCCAGCCTTTGTCCAGCGCGTGACAGGCATTGGAGGCACAGAGAACGGGACCCAGATGCTGGTGACAGTTGGACTTGGGACTCCGGCCTGCAGTCCTGCGAGGACTGTGTTTCCAGGAGGTGTCTGAGGCACTGGCCATGTTGGGTGCTGTTCTAGGGCCCTATGGGTTGCAGAGAGCAGGGGAGGGAAGAGTGGGTGAGGCGGGGGGTGCTATGTAATACCTCTCTTCTGATGTCACATTAACCTGAGACGTGAGGGCTACTGTGGGAGGTTTGGGGAAGCCAGAAGGAAGGCATCAGCTTGGAAGGAGGGGTTCCTTCCAGCTCCTTAAACCTGCCAACTAAGTTCCTGCCCCAGTGCCTTTGTACTCACTTTTCTCTTTGCCTGGAATACTCCTTCCCCAGATGTGTACATGGCTCACGCCAACCATTTCAGTTCTTTGTACAAAGTTCTCCTCTTCAGGGAAGCCTTCTATGACCAACCCTTCTGAAACAATCACTTTTTAGTTCCTTTACCTTGCCTCATTTTTCTTCATAGCACTCACCTCTCCCTGACATGGCATTATTATCTGTTTTCTTTTTCTTAGTTGGGGTAATAACACTTGACACGAGACCTGCCCTCTTAAGCGTATAATCCAGTATTGTTAAATGTCGCACTAAGTTGTACAACGGATCGCTAGCACTTATTCATTAGAATAAGTAGATCGTGGAGGAGCCAGAAGCTCCCCCTTTCTCTTTCCCAAAGCCTCCAGTAACCACCATTCTACTTTCTGTTTCTCTGAGATCGACTATTTAGATGCTCCATGAGTGGAATCATGTCATGTACATCCTTCCGTGACCGCCTTATTTCACGCAGCATGATGTCCTCCAGATTCATCCAGCTTGTCACCTATGGCAGATTTCCTTCTGGTGAAAGGCTGAAGAGTATTCCACTGTACATCTGTAGCACATTTTCTTTATCCATTCACTCATCAGGGGACATTTAGCTGGTTTCCATACCCTGCTTACTACTGAATAATGCCGCAGTGAACATGGGAATGCACCTAGTTCTTTTCCCATCCTGATGGCAATTCTTTTGGGTATATACCCAGAAGTGGAGTTGCTGGACATAGGGTAGTTCTATTTTTAATTTTTGGAGGAAACCCCATGCTGTTTTCCATGCTGGCCATGCCAGTGTGCATTCCCACCAGCACTGTGCCAGGCTTCCCTTTTTGCCACATCCCCGCCAACGCTGGTGATCTTTTTTGTTTTCTTGATTTTAGCCATCCTAACAGGTGTGAGATGATATCTCGTTGTGGTTTCAATTGGCCTTTCCCTGATGATGAGTGATGTTGAGTGCCTTTTCATGTGCGTGTTGGCCGTCTAGATGTATTCTTTGGAGAAATGTCTGTTCAAGTCTTCTGCCCATTTTATTTTTATTTTTTGTTGAATTTTTATAAAAGATCTTATTTATTTATTTGAGAGAGAGGAGAGAGAGCACGAGCGGTGTGGGGGGCAGAGGGACAGAGAGAAGCAGACTCCCCACTGAGCAGGGAGCCTGATGCAGGGCTCAATCCCAGGACCCCGGGATCATGACTCGGGCCAAAGGCAGATGCTTAACTGACTGAGCCACCCAGGTGCCCCACTTCTGCCCATTTTAAAATCAGGTTATTTGGTCTTCTGCTATTGAGTTGTAGGAGTTCCTTATCTATTTTGGATTTTAACCCCTTATCAGATATATGGTCTACAAATACTTTCTCCTGTTTTGTATGTTGACTTTTCACTCTGTTGTGGTCCTTTGCTGTATAGAAGCTTTTTAGTTTGACATGATCCCACTTGTCTCTTTTTGCTTTTGTCATTTGTGCTTTTGTTGTCATATGCATACATATCTGTTTTCCATTTGCCTCCTTACTAGTATTTAAGCTCCATGGGAACAGCAAGCTGTTTTGTTCTCTGCTCTATCCCCAGTTCCTGCCATATAGAGGAGTTCAATCAATAATTATAGACTCTATTTGAACTCAGACTTATGGATTCATTCACTAATTTATTGATATGCTCAACACTTACTTCCCACACATTGGCCGTGTGCCTTAGCACTGGATTTATGGGGGTGACCTCAGACATGACCCCCTGACCCCACAGTATTTACTATCTTGTGGGAAAAATTAGGAGTGAGTAAGGACAGGTTATGGGTTTTACAAAAGGGAAAAGTCAGGGGATCGTGAGCAAGCATCCTCATGGCAGTGCGGTTTAACCATAAAAATAACTTTCCTCTCTCAGGAACTTTCCGTGCGCACTTCCCATGCCTAGCCCTTTATTGTATCATTTTATTTAATAATCTTAACAAATCTGGGACTGTGAGTGATAATCTATTATTATGCTCATTATATAGATGAAGCTCCGAGAGGTCAAATACCCTGTCTGAAGTCCCTTAGTTAGGAGGTGTCTGAACTGGGTCCGGGGCCCAGCTCCTCTTCTGGCTCCAAAATCCACACACTTTGCTGCCATCTGGTATGACTTCTCCGGCAATCACCCCTCCCCGCAACAGTCATGTGTGTGTTCCTTCTGTGGGGGAGGCTTGCCCTCTTTGGGAGCAACTGTTTCCCCGCCAACGAAACACAGGGGACCCAGCTCTGTAGAATGAACCTGGTTTTTACTTTATGGTTAAGTGAGTATTTGCCTTGTTTTTAGAATCAAAGACCTCTTTGAGAAGCCAATGAAAGCTTCAGATTCTCCCCTAAGATATGCACATGGGTGGACAGACAGGGGATTTTGTCTGTAATTCGGGGCGTTCCTGAGTTCCCTTAAGGCTGGTGGCTCCATTGACAGAACTGACAATGAGGAAGGTGGAAGGCATGCTTGCAGGAGGGCGGTTGGCTATCTCTAGGAATGAGCAAGGCCCCAGATGCCGGAGCAGCCAGAATACCCCAAATAAGAAAACACCTTTCGTGGAAAGGACCACCCCAGGATGTGGCACCTGGGGAGCAGGAAGGGAGGTTTGGGAATGCTGACACTCTGTCCAGCCTGGCCCCTTTCATGTGCTCTTCTGTCCTCGCCTCCCAAAGGGTGAAGCAGTCGGAGCTGTTCGACAGATGGAAGAGCCTGCAGATGTGCAGATGGGCGATGAATATCTCTGAAGCCAACCAGTTCAAGTATCTGTGATTTGTCTGCCCTCCCCAGCCCTGCCGTTGGTGCTGTTCTCCTTCCTGCCACCCCGTCCCGCAGGGCCCCGCCCCGGGCTCATCTTCCCCAGAGCTGACCCCGCCTGGGCTTTGGGATCTGGGCCGTGGGGAGGTTCTGACTCAGTGCACAGGCTGAGATGGGCACCTTGCTGGCGGCTGGCCCCCACATTCCGGCCCTTCGTCCTCACGGCAGCCCCGCGGGGTCGGGGGTGTTGTCTCCACGACAGCCCGTCACAGTGCCGTGCTGGGCTCCATGTCTCCAGCAGGCCTGAGCGAGAAGGCGCGCTGAGCATCTCCTCTGGCCGCCCCCTGTCGCCACCCCCTCACGGGGCAGCCTGCACCAGACGTGTGAGGCCTGCTGCAGATTCGTCTCTGATTGCTTTCTCACCCAAAGTGATAGGTTATAAGCTCCCAGAGAGGCAAGAGCTGTAGCTTCAGGTTCCCCTGTCTGCGAGAGCTAAGCAGCCAGCAGGTTTCCACAAATTCCTTTTGATCGGTGGGAACTGTAGGGTCTCTCCTTCGCTGAACTCCTGTGAGCTCCCAGTATTGTTGTGGTGCAGATGGAGCTCACGGAGTGGAATCGGTGGGATTCTAGGAATGTGTGCATGAACCGGAGGCAGGCAAGTCAGGCTGGAGTTCACATGTACCGAGGAGGCGTCAGCACGCGGCCATCCTACCCGGAGGCTGTGGAAAGCAAATGACACTCAGCATTTTGTCTTTTCCTTCGAAGTCATTTGTTCCAGTTTGCTGCAGTTCCGGGCCCCATCTAGAGACCGAGTTGTGGTTTTAAGTGGCACATTTCTAGAAATGAGGATGTCTAGCGTGGTAACCCCTGAAGAGAAGGTGCCAGCAGCCCCGACTCAGAGGCCCCGATGAGCCTGCGGATTCCTGGCTAAGGCCCCACATGCCCCATCATAAAAGTCGAACGTGAACTTGGAGCAGAGTGCTGGGAAGCGGGAACAGGGCCAAGATCTGGGCGGCAGGTGCCACCCCAAATCTGCCTCTTAGCAAGAGGTGTTATGGTGGGCACTGCATGGGCAGACGCCCCCGGGGGTGGCCGAGGCCTGAGCGTCCTGGTGGTGTGGCTCATCCACACCCAGCCTAGACGAGGTCCATGAGATGCAAAAGGATGTTGTCCGGGCTGAGAGCTGAGAGAGGCCCAGAAGTCTCTTTGCTGGGATTCACAAATCTAAGGGAATAAGGAAGCAACAGGAAGGTGAGGTGACAGAAGAAAAACAAGGATGAGTGTGGGGGCCTTCAGCAGGGATCAGC